GGTGGGTGCCTGTCTCCCCCCCCCCTACCCCCGCCATCTTGAGTGTGGGTCTGTGACACCCCCACGCGGTCCCCTGTGGAGAGGCTTAACAGGGCTGTAGTCTGTGGTGGGCCAGCGTGGCCGCGACACGAGGTGTCTCCTCAAGGCTTTGTGTTTTTAGCTCCACCGCGCCCTTGCAGCTCGTATCTCGGGGGTCGGGGGGTGGAGGAGGAGGAGGAGGGGGCACCGAACCCCACGAGGGGCTCCAGGAGCTCTGGAAGAGCCCGCTGACCGTCGGTCCACGACTGCATTTTTAATGCTGTCGTAAAAGTTGACAAACTGGAACTGTAATCTTCTGTATCTCTGAACTTCCATTGCAGACAGGTATTACTACGTTTTTACTTTTTTTTTTTTCCCCAGGGATCCTATGAATTCCAAAATGAAACAGAAACCGAACGTGGAAAAACCATCAGGATCTTTGCAGGTATAGGCTTTAAAGTCTTGAAGCTAGAATATGAGAGCGGATAAGGGATAGAAAATAGAAGGCTAAATTTATCAAGAGTATCTTTAACACAGAATTTGCTTTGTTCAGAGGTTTGGACTTAGTTCTTTGGGAAATGGTCACTCTGTCTGACACAAGTTTTACATCCACTAGAGGAATACAAAGGGATCTGTTGCAATGTGCTTCTACCTGGCTTATGTCCTCTTGGCTTGAGTAACCTCCTGGCAGGCAGTGTGACTTGGGAACACTCTGTTCTGCTTGGGCATATATGTTTATGACTACTTTTTTCTTATTGCTCAGCAAGACCTTTTTAGTTTGACAGTGAGCTTGCTGTCTTTCCCTGTGGGTTTTTTTTAGGTGCTGACTGTCAGGCTTAGTTTGGTTAATGAATCAATCTGGCTGCTCAGGGGTTGTGGAGTAGGTTCTGTGGGCTGAACTTTAGAGTTAAGTCTGTCTTGAGCATGATTCAGCGGAAGTATTCATGCATGCAGGTCTGTTTCCAAAGTCATGCTCATGAACCATGATTGCCTTGGAATTAGTGGAAATGTTTAAAGGATTTGGGTTTTTAAGAAGTTATTAAAGCTGATACCTATTCTAGTGTTAGAAGACACTTTTGTTAAACCTTTTAATGTAGGCCCTACTTGAAATTGTACAAATACTATATAAAATATATCCCTCTTTCAGGAGGGATAGAGTGATTGTAATGAACACTTCTGGTATTAATAAATAATTGTCAATTGATAAGTCTGAATTAGACACATGGTAATCTTGTCCTGTAGCGACTCCAGGGTATAAATTCCTCAGTGGAGCTTTTTGCACTTTCAATGGGTTAACTCAAGTATTAGTCAATAATTTCTTGGCAGAGTATACTTAGCTCTAACCTTCAATAGCAGCAAGCAGTGTCTGACACGGTGTGATTCTTGTTCCCACAGCAGTTAGTATTTGTCCTTGAGTTCAACAGTAGGATAATTGGTGGCAGAAACTACCGTGGGAAAGGTGAACTCTTGTCATACCAAGTACAGTGTGAATTGGTAACTTTCTCACGCTGGTGTGGCATTATATTCTGGCTATTCTTGCTTGGTTGTCTGCCATTGTTTGCTATCCCATGGTGGCAATGTAACCAACCCAATCTGAAGGCTTAAATGAAGGAAATGGGTATTTATGCATGACAGGAAAGGTGATAAACATTCTGTTTATACAAAACAATAGCCTGTCTGGATTCAAGCAAGAAAGCTTTAGATCAATTTTAATGGATAATTGAAGTAACATATCTATTTAAATGAACACCACTTGAGGGTGTGTTCACAGGTAACAAAAATAGGTACTGCCTAAAGTGATGTGTATGAATTTATCAAGTAAACTTGAAATTGCATCGCTTTTGTCTCTCTACTGGAGTCTGATACTGCTGTTGTCAAATACAACTTTGGGAGCTTCAGCTAAAGTTCATATGTGTCAGTGCATGGTAGCTAGCTTTGAAATCTCATCAGAATATTTCTGTTATAAGACCTGTTCAAGTTCTTTTATGAAGGGTATGGGTTTTCTAAGAGGCCGGAACTGAGCATAGCTTCATGTGATAAAGGTCTGTCTCTGCTACAAATAATTATATCCCCTTCTTTGCACAAGCCTATACCAAAGTATCATCTTTTTTGTCTTGACAAGATGAACCATGGGTTACCTTAATGGAAGCATGACAAATCTAAATTTCTGTTTACGTAGAGAAGAGTGGCAACTGTCTGAAGTTATATTTGTCTTTTTAGAAGTACCTCACAGACACTACATGCAGTGCTGCCCCAAGACAAACTCTTAAAATGATTCAGCCTTCAGCAGCAGGTTGCCTGGTTGGCAGACGTAATGAGGTATGAATTAGAAGATAACCTGTAGATGTGTAATTATTTCTACTCATAGTGAAATGTTTTTGTGCATTTAACTCAGAACTAATATATTTGAAAAAAAAAGCTGCTAACTAGTGTGACACAACTTCAGCTTACTATTATTTTAGTAATAAACAATATTAAAACCTAGCAGTTTGTGTTAAACCTATGGATGTCAAGGATGATGTCTGTAAATCAGAACTATAATGTGAAGAAACTAGGGCTTATAAAGACTTACTTGCAGTCATTGGTGAGCAGACTTGCAAGTTTGTATTGTTTAAAACAAAACAACTTGAAATGTTGCTCTGAACTTCAACCTGCCTGTGTTTTATACAGAAGAAATCTTCAGTCAAAAGGAAACTCTGGAATAACAAGTTCACCTCAAAGGCTTGTAAAGCTGAGGTGCCTGGGGACAAAGAGCAAGAAAATGAGAATACAAAAGATGTCATTCAAGCTGTAGATCTCATGATAAAAGGTATGTGGTAATTCCTGAAATGTTTTATTGCACTTAAAATGCTATGCTCCCATTAAAATATAGCTTGAAACATGGTTCCTTTGTCAGTTAGATAAGGGCTTTGTTTTTATGTAATACCTAGCAGGAATTAATGATACTTACCCTCTATAGTATAGTAAATAGATAGTATAGTCAATACAGTATAGATACCTAATTTAAGAGAGTTTATGGTAACCAGTAGCTGAGAAACAGTGTGCTGCAGTAGTAAGAAGTCCTGTGTAGTTTGTTACTTTGGCTTGGCTACAAGCTCTGAAGTGACTAATAATTAGGATGAAATGAAAGCCCGTTTTGGCATAATGCTGTGTGTGCAATTTCTCAGAACCATTAAGCGCAATATGGACAGTGACTTGGGAGTAAGACGTCTGTCTTCCACAAAATACACATTAAGACAGACACTTGCAAATGTGACCATCTTGCAAAGCCTGCTGTGATGCTTGAGGCAGCTTCTTGAAGACTCTGCCTGTATAGCTGTTAATACAGCGTGGGATTTCTGTTCTGTAAGCTTATGTCTCTAATTGTTTTCCTAGAGACTAAATGTAAATTTACCCTTTATGGAGAGAGTTCTTATCACAGTCTATACAGTGCTTGAATTCAGTCTTAGCACAGACTTACTGTAGCTTCTTCCTTCAGGAAGCCCTTCATCTCAATATTGGAAAGAAGTGGCTGAAGAAAGGAGGAAGGCTCTGTATGAAGTGCTTCAGGAAAATGAAAAGGTAGCTAGTGAAAGATAACCAACTTCTTTCCTACTGGCTGTGGTCTTCCTGTTTTAACACTTTGTTATCTGAACTTAGCTGCACAAAGAAATTGAACAGAAAGATGGTGAAATTGCCCGCCTGAAAGAAGAAAATGAAGAGCTCATGTCACTTGCTGAACATGTGCATTATATGACCAGCATGATTGAGGTACTTGAATTTTTAGTTAACATTGTGGAATGAAAAATGGAAAAACGAGCAGAAATTTCTTTTTTTTTATGAATCATGACTTCTGTTCTGTGTGTTCACATAATTTCATTTTAAATTACTGTCTAACCTGTTTCCTGTGGGATTGTTCTAGCCCAGAGGCATAAAGCCCCTTCTAGGGCTTTTTCCGGCTTGGTCCATACGAGTAATGAGAAGTACTGAGGTGTGTTTTCAGAGGGGAAGATTCAACCTATTGTTTTAACAGAACAGGCTTTGCATGTTAGAGATGGTGAAAAGGGAAGGAAAGCTTCATTTTCACTTTTCTGAGATGACTTAAGTTCGGGTGCTTATTAGCTTGTGTGAGGCTGCTGGCTAAACAAAGTGTTTTTGCTGGCTCTTTTCTTTGAGGAACTAAACTTGAAACAGCAAGAACACGAAGTGGAGCAGTGAGAGAGAATAGGGCACTTATGCTCTTTAAAGTCAAGGTTTCACTGAGGAATTGCTAGTTCTATGGCCCAAAAATGGCTAATACACAAAGTCAGAAGGGTTCATAAACTTGTAAATTTCAAAACAACTGCCTCTGACAATTCCTTGGGGACAGGTAGTTGTGTCACTGATTCCGTGAATCCTTTACCAGGAGTAGATTGTCTGTAACAGCCTCTGAAGGTGTTATATATTTATATAACAGTGTAACCTTGATACTAAAATTATCAGCTAGGTGGTTTTTATAGGGATTGAGCTCTCAACTGGGATACAAAGCTGGCTGCCTGACAAATATTTTGATTCTCTGATTAGACTGAGGAGGTGGAAACAAAATGGAAGATTATTGTAAGCAACTTGATTAATCAAGAAGTAAACTTGATCAAGTTAATTTTCAGTTAGTGCAATTATTTAGATGAGTCTTTCAAGACTCCACTAATTTGCTACACTTAAATTTCTCTGGTATTTGGTGAGTGCTGCTTTTTAGTGATAAACCCACAGGCAGAAATTGAATCACTTAAGGACTTAAAGAACTAGTTGGAAACTTCTCTGCAGTTCCTCAACATTGAAGTTCACTTAGTGGCTGTAAGCTGCTCACTTCTGGGGCTTTAATGAGCCTTAAGTGATATATCAAACAACCGGAAGCCTCAAAAGCAGCCTCTTACGGTCCTGTTTTTCCTTCCTTAAATCAGGTTAGGTGAGGAACTTCTAGTTTGATTAAGTGCTAGAAACTGGGTCTTCTAGTTCATCTAGACTTGACGTAGCTTCATTATCTCTGATTAAAAATTATGAACTTAATCTGTTGAATAGTAATTTTCCTAAAATTAAACCTATATAGTTCTATAGTAATATGTAACTCGAAGATGTTTCCCATATTTTAAGTTGCGCAAGATAAAACCTGTCCTGAAGAACCTAAGGAAGACTTAACAGTCAACAAAGCAGATGTGGTCTGGGCATTAGAGGTAGCAATTTGAGTTTAACTCCAGTGTCCAAGACTTTTGTGACTGATGAATGTTTTAATTATATCAATGGTCTCTGAACAAAGATAACTAGTCTGCTTAATTCACCATGTGCAGTTTTATTTTGCTGGCTCTTACTAAGTAGAAAAAAGTATTAAGTTCACTGTCTTCTCATTCTTTCTAGAGGTTAACTCGGCAAGCACCTGATGAGACACTGAAGAGTCTGGCTCTAGAGGAATCCAAACAAGAAAATGAAGAGCTTAATGGAGATGATGCAGACAACCCTTCTGAAGAAGGGCCATCAGAAGTATCATGTGGCTTAAGGGAGAGTCCATCAGATCTTGCTTCAAAGGAAGCATGTCATTTGCAACTGGAATGACAACCTTTAAATAGGCTTATGTATGTGGCTTTTAATTGCAGGCTTCCTCTTGAAAGGATATACTGAAACTTCTCAGGTATAGAAACTCTTGTGGAATCATTGCAGATGTTGGGTTTTTTTAACTGGAATTATGTAGCAGTGGGAGTATCTGGATACTGCGTAGAAGACTTATTACAGGCTGCACTTATTTGCTTGTATAAAATACAAATACTGTGTATTTCAAACTGTTTTGTAAATATCAGTTGGTATGACATGATACATGAAAATTGATAAATAAATCTTTGCCTTTACAAAACAGCCTCTTATTTGAGTGGGGGATGGCTTGTTCTGGGTTTGTAAGTCAGTTGTGACTACTGTAGATGAAAGCTTTAAGTTTTTCAGGGAGTGCCTGGGCTGTTTTAACTCCTTAGATTTGCAGAATTCTGGAGAACAGAGTGGTTTTGGTGGATATGGAAAGCAAAATAAAATGTGTGCTTCAGGAAGTCAAGACTGCGTAATAATAGTCAAGATGTAAAGTTTAGTTACGTTTATGCTTTTCAGGGGTTTTTAAGTAATTGTCTTTGTCTTTTAAGGGAGCCTTTTCCAAGATGTGTAAATGAGAGCTAAAGTAAGTACAAAGTATTAGACAGTCTCTTTTAGAAATACACTTATTGGCTTGTAAAGAAAAAGTGGTGTGTTCTTGCTCCTAATAGCAGCTGTACTGAAAATTAGATGGAGGTAAGGCTGCCTACATTTCAGAGCTACTTTGAAAGGAAACTCAGTGTCTGATTTTTGTATTGCTCTGGTATTTACTGAGACATGAGGCACCTTTTTACCAAGATAGTAATGTTCTGAAGGGTTTACAGGAATAAAATGCACTTTTTAAAACTGAGCATCTTATCTGGCATCCATATTGGGGGAAGAATGTCTGCAGTTGAATACAGGCTTTCCTGTCCTGAGTGAACTTGGCAGTTGCTCTGTAAGTAACAAGCTCTTCCAAGGATAGGCTTTAAGAGATAGTGGCCATGGCAATATTTTGTGAAGAGCTTAAAGTTGAATGGCTTTCAGGAGGCAGAGATAATCAGAGGGATTCTGGTTTATGGATCTTTTGGGCCTTGCCAAAACAGGTGCTTCAGGAGACGTGTGAACAGACCTGTGGAGCTATCAGATTGGCACCTTTAGATTCCTTCCCTATCTTATTCTCTCCCTGTAGGTGTCAGTAAGTTAGATGTGTCAAAACTGTTTTTAGCTGTGACATTCGGAGTGTCAGAACCATTGTAGGATGTAATATTCTTTCTGGCTTTCACTTCACGTTGAATCTGGTAACCACAAGGTGAGGTACCCTATTTTCCTGGGAACTTTGTGAACAAAATGGTACACCTTCCAATTTGTGCTTTAGAGGGTGCTTGGACATGATCCTTTCCATCACAGTGCAGAAATGGTGACAAAGGTGTGACCTTTAACTTTCACTGACATTGTGTTTAGGAAAGAAAGGATGCTGGATAACTGCTTTGTGGAGAAACCTTGGTTTTCTGTTCAAAACATATTGTCAAGTGACTTAACCTCTCTTCTCAGATTCTAAGCAATTCTTGTGTCAAAGTAGTTCTTCAACAATAGTAAATGAGGAAACACGTAAAACTTGTTACAATAGTCTTTATGCAGTGCAATTTAGTTTGTTATTCATAGTTAACAGTCATTCTTCAGAGGTGGCTTTATTTTTGAACATCAGGAGTATCTTGCGTTTCGGGAGACTGCAGAAGGGAAGAAAGCGCTGTTGCATTATTAGCTGGCCAGGCAGACTGATCCAACTGAGACAGTACAACTGCTTTGCCACCATTTCGTCTCCTGCTCTGTGAACTGCTGTAACACAGGTGCTGTTAGAACAAAGAACTGCCCGACAGTAACAAATCCAGAATTTGGATGCATTATCTGCATCCGGCTCTTCCTTATTATCACAAAGATGGTCAAGAAGAATGCTTATTAGATTTAAATCTTGTGCTTTTTTCTTTATTTATTTTAAATAACAAAGACAAGACAGTGCCTTGAGTAGCTGGATCCTTGCTTCTGTTGAAATGTATGTGTACAAAAAAAAGTGTACAAAATAAATTGCAAGTTCTTCATGTGGGCTGATGCATGTATTGCAACATTTGGCCCTCCTGTAATAGAAAACCTTCTTACATCAAAAAGACATGGACCACATAATACTCACACCTGCACTAGGAGTCTTCAAGCTACTATGGTTTTACTGACTTGAATTCATTAGCAGAGGGAATAGTTTGCTATATAAACTCCTGGAAAAAAAGCATCCTGCAGGAGAAGATGGGGTGTGAGAGCTGAATTGTGGCACAGGAATAAAACCCGTGTACATGATCTATCTCTGTTACAGATGTATTGATCCTTGAACAAATAATCTCCCTGTACCTATTATAGCAGAATTATTAATGTGTGAAAGTGTTGTGACAAGTTTTGTGATGCTGCATTAATTGCTATTTTAAAATGTTCTGAAAGGGTCAAGTTTCACTTACTGTCCTGAAAATTCTGGAGTATCTTTTTTTTAAGAACGTGCATGCAGTAGAACTATCTTATATAATAAGTACAGGAACTCTGTGTGCATGTGAGAAAGACTTGTCAAATGTGTAGAAATTATACAGAGATTTGTGTAATTAGTTCTGCTACAACCATCTGACCTTTTATTTTTATTTAAGTATGAAACATTTACCACTGAAACATACCTATGTAATGGCTGTAAATGAACATCACTAAAGACAAAGTTATTTCATACCCAGCTAAATTACAGAGAACGTTCTGTCTAGCAGACTAAAATTGTCAGTTCTGGAACCTAACTGCAGAATGTGATTCCAAGAAGTCATAAATGCTTTTGTGCACCAGCTTGGCCAGCGTGCTGACTCCTTGTCCTTGAAGAGGCTGTGGCCACAATCTCCTCTTTCACTGAATTATCCTAAGGCTGCTCAGAAGTAGGACACATCTACTGCATCCTAGCACTTCTCACATCAAATGTGCGTGCCCTAACAGGACAGAATTCCAGATGTGTAAGACTAAAGTGTGGGGAGAAAGGCTGTTTGCAGGTGCTGAATGCTTCAAGAAGGAACAGCTGTGCAGGGACTAGCAGAGACAGACAAACTGTGGGCTGTGTGGATGGTTTGTGTGAGGGAAAACTTTTAATTGGTTTAGCAAAAAATAACAATTTTTGTTTCAACACCCATTGTATCTAAGACAATGCATAGAGAAGTGAATTAGAGCCATAGTAACTACTTGGCTGGGCAACTGAAACTCACTTGGCATTTGGCATTGCATTGCTTATGTGAGGGCATACAGCATTGTCATGTGTTGCAGCCTGTGCATAAGTAACAAAGCAGGTCATCAATTTTTGCAAGGAATTATCATGCATATTCACTCTTTGAGGGCCATATGAGGTGGTTTTCTTTTCGGAACTAGAAGTGAGATTTATTTTGAGCAGAAGGTGTGCAAATCTGCCAAGGCCGTGTGTTTCCAGTGCTCTGTTGTTCTCCAGACTGAATTGCATTGTTATCATCAACACTTTCTTCAGCAGAAAGTGTTTACTGTGTATTGTTAATTTCTCTTTTCATTCTTGTAGTAACACAAAGTAGTGCAGCAAGTGATAATGGTGTTCTAAGAAACTTTAATTTGCTGCTGCTTTGTCCGTTTGCCAACAACCACCTGTAATGAAATGTGGTCAGCTGTGTTCAAGGTCAAACCCTTGGGTATGACGATACCTCTGTCATATCCTCAGGGGCACTGCAGCCATTTGAAGGGGGGTGCTGTGGATCCTGTCATCAGAAGAATTTTGTTGCAAAGCAGGGGTGCATAGCTAAGATACGCAGTTTGGCAGTGCTATTGATTCCTAGTTTTGAATGCTTAAAGTCAGCAACAGTCAGTATATAGCAGACTGCAGCATAGGGTAAAGCTATAGTAAACACAGTCCCCCACAACATCCTTCTTTCTAAATTGGAGAGATATGGATTTGATGGGTGGACTGTTTGGTGGGTGAGGAATTGGCTGGATGGTCACATCCAGAGGGTAGTGGTCAACGGTTCAATGTCCGGATGGAGATTGGTGACAAGTGGTGTCCCTCAGTCGCCTCTACTGGGACCAGTACTGTTCAATATCTTCATCAGTAAAACAAACAGTGGTATCGAGTGCAACCTCAGCAAGTTTGCAGATAACATCAAGCTGAGTGGTGCAGACACACATGAGGGACCTGGACAGGCTTTAGAAGTGGGCCTGTGTGAACCTCAGGAGGTTCAACAAGGCCAAGTGCAGGGTCTTGCACCCAGGGTGGGGGCAACCCCTGGTATCAATATGGGCTGGAAGATGAAGGGATTGAGAGCAGCCCTGCTGAGAAGGACTTTGTGGCAATGGTGGATGAAAAGCTGGATGTGAGCTGACAATGTGCTCTTGCAGACCAGAAAGCCAACGATATCCTGGGCTGCATCGAAAGTGTGGCCAGCAGGTTGAGGGAGGTGATTCTGCCCCTCTGCTCCACTCTGGTGAGACCCCACCTGGAGTACTGCATCCAGATCTGGAGCCCTCAGCACAGGAAAGACATGGACTTGTTGGAGCAGGTCCAGAGAGGGGCCACAAAAATGATCAGAGGGCTGGAGAACCTCTCCTATGAGGACAGGCTGAGAGAGTTGGGGTTGTTCAGCCTGGAGACAAGAAGGCTCCAGGGAGACCTTATTGTGGCCTTTCAGTACTTACAGGGGGCTTGTAAGAAAGATTGGGACAGACTTTTTATCAGGGCCTGTTGTGATAGCACAAGGGGTAATGGTTTTAAACTAACAGGGGGAAGAGTTAGACTAGATAGAAGGAAGGAATTTTTTAGCATGAGGGTGGTGAGACACTGGACCAGGTTGCCCAGAGAGGTGGTAGATGCCCCATCTCTGGAAACATTCAAGATCCGGTTGGATGGGGCTTTGAGCAACTTGATCTAGTTGAAGATGACCCTGCTTACTGGAGGGGGCTTGGACTAGATGACCTTT